TTTTTTTTTTCCTTTTTTTTTTTTTTTTTCCGGTGCTGGGGACCGAACTCAGGGCCTTACACTTGCCAGGCAAGCGCTCTTCCACTGAGCTAAATCCCCAGCAAAACTGTCATTTAAAAAAGGCTTATTGTTGATAAGAAATGAGAGTTTTTCAACATTATTTCATAAATGAAAAAAGTAAATTAGTAAGTTTGTTTTATGATAGGAAGAATTTAAGATTTCTAAACTTACGGGGCTTATTGGACAACTCCTTCTTTACCCTGGGTGTTCTCTCTCTCTCATCCAATGGAAGTTTTCAGCAGCCAATATATTATATAGTAAGCTTAATGTGCATTTGTTGATTTTATTTTTCAAGCATCAAAAACATTCCTTTTCAAACAAGAAATTGAATATTTTTTTCCCCAAGGACAAGATTTATTTTTCTGTTTAAGAAAGTAGGAAGGAAAAGCATCTAAGTTGATGAGAAGTCTTGACTGGGAACTTAGCTTCAGCAACTATAGAATGCACTTGTGAGAGCTTGATCATGTAAACTTTATTACCCTTTTACTGGCCATGTTGACATCATAAAATAGTCCTGTGCAGTTGGTTCAGCCGTCCATTAGCTTGCATCTGAATTCCTTGCTGTGGGGAATTTTCAGCCTGTCTCTTGTGCCTGAAAAATTAGTGTTTGATCTTTCTGGAAATCAGAAGCCAGCAGACTTTGCCACATTTGAGTGGAGTAATATTTTTCTTATGCTTTTTGCCTTCCCATTTTGTAAAATTGACTTGGAAGGGCCTTATGTATGAAAAACAAAAATTGCAGAGTTTCTGTTGTTAAATTATTATAGTACATCTTTTGATAACCTTGAGAGGACAGCAGCACAAATACTCTGAAACAAATTACATTTTGTTCTAGATCATGAAAAATACTTGACTTGCTTTAAGGAATGATCACAATTGCTATGTATTATTATAGGCTATTAATTCTTTTCACACATATAACACTCAGATTTTTGTATTCAAAAATAGCATTTGCGTATTTATATTGTTTTGTAACTTGGTATCCTTAAGAGCCACTTCCATAATCTTTGGGCAGAACTTTTTGTTGTATCTGTGATGAGAATCATTATTTTTAATGACTGTATAATATTTTATTGACCTTCCTCATCCCCTTCAATCAATTTCCTATTGATAGAAATTTAGACTTTTAGATTGTTTCTATATTTTCAGCAGGACAGAACTGAACTCCTTGCTATATAAATGGTTGCTTACTTACTTTTTTCTTAAGATAAATTCCCAGAGGTAGAATTCTGAGTCAAAAAGATGTTGTTTCTGTACACACTGATTAACCTATATATTTGAAATTTGTATACCCACCATGATCATTGCAGTATGTCCAACTTCTCCATAATGGTTTGACTTATGTAAAATAGAGACTCACTTTACATCAGCATCAGTAAGGCAGGAATTATGCAATCTTAAGTATGTTAAAATTTACTGAGGAACTATACATATTTGAAGTTAGTGGCATAGAATTTTTGTATTGAAGTGTCTGCATATTCTGCCACAATTTTAAAGGTGTTATGCCCAGCTCTTGTGTACCTTCAGTTTGAAGAGTTTTGACAAATATGTCCATCCATGAAATCACCACCATATTAAGATATAGAATATTTCCTCGCTCCCAAAAAGTTCCCTCTTTCCTCTTTTATGCACTTCTTATGATAATACATTAATTTTGCCTGATTTTAAACCTCATAGAAACAGATCATACAGTGTGTTGAATGAATATACATTTAATGTTATTGTTGTTTTTAAATATAGTTTCTGAAGAGTAAATTCCAAACCTTACTTCTTAGAACAAAAGAATCCGAAACTGATGTGAAAGTTATCTAGAGTTAGGTGTGGTGGTACACACCTGTAATCCCAGCATTATGGAGGCTGAGGTAGGAGGATTGTGAGTTCAAGTCCAGCCTGGACTTATATAGTGAGACCCTACCTCCTAAAACAAAACTCAAAACAATTACAACAAAAAAGATAAACTTATGTAGAATAAGAGCAGTAAGCTTTTCAAAAGAGTAAAATTAGACCCCTTACCTTATACCATACTGAAAAATTAACTCATGATGGACCACAGACCCAAATGCATTCACTAAAACGAACTGTAAACTTATAAAACTTATTAGGTGAAAACATGATGGAAAACTTTCATGGCATTGGATTTGGTAGTGATTTCTTGTATAGGACATCAAAAGTGTAGGCAGCTGAAGGAAAGGCAGACAAGTTACAATGTCAGTGCACTAAAGGACACGATTAAGAGCAAAAGGGTAAACACAGAATAAGAGGAAATATTTGCAAATCATTTACCTGGTGAGAGATGATACTACATAAGATGCTCTTACAACTCAAACAATAAAATCACCCAGTTTTTAAAGAATGGGCAAAGGACTTGAATAGATGTTTTTCCATAGGAGATATTCAACTGTTCACTAAGCACACAAGAAAAGGTGCTGAGCCTCATGGATCATTCGGGAAATTCACACCAAAGCCACATTGAGATGTTG